CAGGCCCACTTTGATGAGACCGTTTGCATTAGAGGTCACTACATTTTACATTTTAATAAAGGGTGATTTAAATAATGCCTGTGAACTTAACGCACATCAAAGTTTCTTTTTTTGCGAAGCTTTGAAAAGTGTGGCTGACAGGTTCACGAGATTCTAAAGTGTTTGAGAACGTAAGTCCTTTTAAAGTTGATAAGGAGACCTACTAATCCCGAACATCTCGTAGTGTAGTACCGTTCAGGTTGTTTATTACAGCTTATCCTTGTTCTTCTTTGACCTCTGTCTGTTGCTAAGACACAGTGGTTGCCACGGCAATGAGGAAGAATTCTTGAAGCCACTGAAGTGCTGAAATTCTCTCTGTGGTGTGGTGCCTTCAAAAGTGCTCATCCTATATTCGCTGGACAAGGGGATGACTTTACTCTGAAGCGCTTTGGGGAAGCAGAAGCTATGGATAAAATATGGATTTAACAAATGTCAAAAGTTCAGTTAATAAAGGAAGATGCTGTTGTTTTGCAGCTGTTTCATGTAGAAGTGGTCATTTTTTTCATGGTCATGACTAAGGTTGCCTAAAGTACAACCTTCAGTATCAATCGGTGCTGAAATTTTAAAAGCATCCTTTTCCTGCTAACATTTGAGCGCTGTGGTCAGGGTCTTTAACACCACTGACTGGCAATTGTTGAACATATGACTGAGATTGGCTCATAATTTCTCTGCTCTTCTCCTAGTGTTTACATTCACACTTGATAACTGAAATCTTTTAAAGATTTAGGACAGAAATCTCTCAAATTCATGGGTGACGTTGGCTCAGTGGTTAGCACTGTCGCCTCGCACCAAGAAGGGCACTGGTTCGAGTCCTGGCCGGGGCAGTTGGCACTTCTCTCTAGTGTTTGCATGTTTTTCCATGTGTTTTTTTTTTTTTGGATGCTCCGGTTTCTCCAACAGTCCAAAGACATGTGCTATAGGTGAATTGAATAAACTAAATTGTCCGTAGTGTATGTGTGTGTATGGGCGTTTACCAGTACTGGGTTGCAGCTAAAAGGGCTTCCGCTGCCTAAAACACATGCTGGATAAGTTGGTGGTTTATTTTGCTGTGGCAACCCCTGATAAGATGAAGGGACTAAGCCGAAGAAAAATGAATGAATCTCTCAAAATGTATAAAAGATTTATCAATCTGCATTTTGAAAATAAGCAAAGGACCTATTGTTTTTGAACAACACGTGTGAGCAAATAATGACAAAATGAAAAAGAATGATTTAAAAGTTCATTTTGGAGTAAACTGACACTTGTGGCGACGAATGCACTGAAAGTATGTTAAATTGTTCTCTCATATTCGCTCTCAAATTCCAATTCAATTTACTTTATTGGCAGAACATACACGGGTAAATATTGCCAAAATGTACATAGCAGGGGGGAAAAAGTCATAATAGTAGTAGTAATAACAAATAATAGTAATAACAAAATTAGTGAAAATAATAACAGCAATAATAATAATAATAATATGTAATACAATAGAAAGGAAAATAAACAGCATACATATAAAATCTAAAATAATGCATATTATTATACATATACACTCACCGGCCACTTTATTAGGTACTCCTTACTAGTACCGGATTAGACCCATTTTTGCCTTCAGAACTGCCTTATTCCTTCATGGCAGACATTCCACAAGGAACTGGAAATATTCTTCAGAGATTTTGGTCCATATTGACATGATAGCGTCTCACAGTTGCTGCAGATTTGTCGACTGCACACATCCATATAGCAAATCTCCCGTTCCACCACATACCAAAGGTGCTCTATTAGATTGAGATCTGGTGACTGTGGAGGTCATTTGAGTACAGTGAACTCATTGTTATGTTCAAGAAACCAGTCTGAGATGATTTACGCTTTAAAACATGGCGGGTTATCCTGCTAAAAGTAGCCATTAGAAGATGAGTACACTGGTCATGCAGGCATGTCCAAACTCAGTCCTGCAAAGTTTAGTTCCAACCCCAATCAGGCACACCTGCTCAAGCTCCTTCTAGTCTTTCTAAGCAACCTTGCAAGTTGGAGCTAAACTCTGCAGGACACTGGCCCTCCAGGACCGAGTTTGGACACCCCTGTCATAAAGGGATGGACATGGTCAGCAACAATACTCAGGTAGGCTGTGGCGATGACACAAGGCTCAGTTGGTACCAATGGACCCAAAGTGTGCTAAGAAATAAAGTACAATACACAACTACTTCTAGTTTTGCCAAATTGCTGACTAACACTTGAGTAGATTTCTTGTTAAATAACAGTCTTTTTAACTGAACTGATAGAGAGGTTTATTAGAAGGAAAAAGTGATCTACCTTTATGCCAAAGTTCCATGTGCATAGTAGGTACAAGCTCTGATCAATTTAAAATCAGGGTAAAAAAATATTGTTGCTGTTATTTCACCATGAAATGTTGTGACCAATCAAACGCAGCCTGGGGCAGTTTTATTATTAATGATTCAATGTGGATTGACAGAGTTTTTCTATTTCCAGGTTGGATTTTTTCCATATGCATCATGTATTGAAGTCTTATTATAGAGCTAAATGGCACCTTTAATAGTTTTTTAACCCACTTAAAGATGCTCTTCTCCTGCCTTTCTTCTGCTCAGAGTATATTCTTCCAGCAAGTTTGCATTTTGATCTTTGAGCTGTGCACTCTTGCTGGAAAAAGCTGTTCTCCACTTCAGCTGGTCAATGGCGGTGTCAGAGGATGAGAGTGTCTGTACAGAGGTGGCATTCAGCATCTGCTGCTCTCTTTTGTTTTGCATCTGTGAGAGAGGAACGTGTGAAGTGGCTGATGGTGATGAATGTTGTGTTATGATTTTCTTTCCTGTCTCTTCATCAGGCGGAAGAGAGGAAGGGGGAGGGGGCAGACAACGCCCCAAAATATGAACAGCGAAATATTAATAGAAATGCCATATGTTGGTCCGCTGCAAATAGTGACAGAGGCAGTAAGGGGAATGGCTATAAAGGACAAAATGGATCTTCTTTTTTTAAGATGTTAAAGTTTTAGGTCCTTGAAGGATAAAGGTGCCTCTATAAGCGATTGATCATAAAAGTATTTCAGATATTCGTATATAATTTTTTTCTTTCTCATTGACATAGATTTCTTCCTGATGATTAACTACCAAAATGTGTTCTATTTTTAGATTAAAGTTTGTTTACATCATGCTATTTAAAATAAACAGAATATATATGGTTATATTTACAAAATATATTTACAGTTTTATGAGAAGTTATTACTCTCAAAAAAGGACTTTTGCTAGTTGAAAACATTGCAATTCTTAAGTTTTTTTTAACAATTTAATTGTTTTATTTTCAATCAACTTAAATTTGTTAAAACAATTAAGTTTTAAATTAAATTTAGTTTAATTATGTTGTGACAACATAAAGGAATTGTGTGAAACCCAGCATTTTTTTTTCAGTGTAGCTGCAAAGTGATGACATCAAAATACTTTATAATTCTAAAGTTGAATTATTGTGTTTGAGACATATGCTTGCATTCTGTCATTGACAACATTATTAGACCATTTTTTCACTGGTAAAATCAGACATTTGTCATTATCAGGTTTCCTCTTGCATTATATTAAACCTTATATAGGCAAGAATAGTAAAACTGACACTGTTAAACATTTATTTTCATGCACAACACTTTGTTATGAAAGGAAAAACATATCAAATGCTTGTCGTAATCATAACTCTAAAATGTGATATGATCATTTAAATGATGTGTGCTCTTTCAGTTTCACTTTCACTGCCGAGTGCAGTTCATGTCATGGCTGCCGTCACTCTAGTGGAAAGAAAATAGTGTACACACTAATCATACTTTTCTGTGCGCTTCTCAAAACAAACTTAAAAATATAATTGGCTGAATCACAGAGATGCTGGATTAAGATTGTGTGGGGGGTCGAATCGAGATCGTCATCTTTTTTTAAATAATCGTGCAGCCCTAGTGTACACTGTAATAATGCAGGGTTCCACACAATCGATTAATATATTTTTAACCAATTTAGGTGGATTTTACATAAACCAAATAACTTGTCCCAGAATAAATCTCAAAAATTGTGTTGTTGCAGCTCATTTTAAATAAGTAGTTTGAACGAGCAGTAAAACATTTTAACAACATTTTGATGCATGATTATATTGTGTAGTGTCCAAAAGAAAGAAAGAAAGAAAGAAAAACCACCACTTGCACACATTCAAATCACTCAATATTTGCATAAAAATAAACTCTCTTATCCATACCATTACACCCCAAAAATATTAATTTGGCCTGCAGTGTTTAAAAGCAGAAAATGAGTTTAAAGAAGAGAGTTTGCTCTGTTTGTCAAACCTTAGAAAATGGTGCCAAGGTAGTTAAAAATGTGATTCCTTGCCAACAAATGAAAAGCTTATAAATAATTTTATCCCCCCGAAACAGTACTGGGATTAGATTTTGAGTTTTAATGGGTTTCTTTAGTCCATTCTTTGCATTTACTATTTTTAAGGTGAGTTCAACTTAACAAATTAAGTTGAACATTACTAAATTTAACTTGTTTGTTTCAATTCAGCCAATATAAATTGTTTGCAACTATTTGCCTAAAGATTTTATTAAATCAAGTACATATTTTTTTATTGTAGCAACTTTTTTAGTTTAAAATGGATTTATGAAGTAAATTGAGGATAAATATTCTAGTTTGTGCTTGTTTTTACATAAGCCCAGCCAATTTGGGCTTAAAATAAAAATGACAAACAAATGAATAAAGGTACAAGTCTATGCCACAGGCATGAACATGATCTGCTGCTTGTTGGTTGTTGTAGGGGACAGACATTTCTTACTTTAACTGGACTGTAATCTATGGAGTGCTTGATGACTCCTCAATCTTTTGGTCTGCATGTAAAAATAGTCAACGATTCTAAAAATGTCGTTTAGCCCAGTTTTTCGTCCTTCTCTGGGTTATTTCCATACCTCCTAATTGTCTTGTCTTTCTGCTGATGTTTGACAGGTGTTCTGGGGTTTTGTGCCTGGGCATGGACCACCCTGTGCATAGAGGAGACACCATGTCCATCGGACTTCACGACAGGTACTGTGCAATGTATGTCATCTCTTTCTTCTATGCACACACACACACACACACACACTCGTACTTCACAGTTTCTACCCTACACATCATCCCTTTGCAGAGCCACATGCGTTTTCATTTCTCCTCTGCTTTATCTGGTCATGGTCCTCCTGGTTAGCTTTGTGCATCTTTTTCTGTCATGAATATTTTACATGCACACTTTCTTTCAGATGTCTCTCTCTTTCCCAAACACCTCCAGCGGTTTCATGTGAACTGTTATTAAGGACAACGTTGTTAAATCTGTGATATCCATCATGCTTTGCTTTGTGTTCAGTTGGTTCAAAAGTAAATTCTGTTCTATCCTATAATGCAGATTGCTTTCTTAGTTGTTGACTTGAATGGATATTGGTACTAAACTACCTTGCAACTACCTTCAGACTGACAATAACTTTTTTTTGGCTGTTAGTGCATTTTTTTTAGATGTTGCACTTTACAATGGTGACAATGGTTTGCACTGGGGCTACTAACAATTTGCCAAAACGATATGTGTTTTCAGAGACTGTTAGCAGTCATTCAAAACAACACTTAGCATGATATTGTGATCGAAATGTGGTATTTTCATATCAAATTGTATTATTAATTTATTGAATGTGCTTTAAATATAGTAGTATAGCATTTTTTCATACATTTGTTAATGAAAAATGTTATAATTAATTTTATTAGTTGCTCTGAATGTGCGTTTAAAATGAATGTATTTGGTTATTGTTTCTCTTAAAGTAAATGCTATGAATCATATAGTTAGATTACTTTGGTGATGTGGAGAGACCCGCTCATGATTGTAAAGTACTTTGGGTTTAGGGTCATACATGCTTAAATCTGATACATACATTGGTTTCCGTGATGTTTTTTGTTTCTACTATGGATGCTAGTGGCTGCTTTCCCCCCAACATTCTTCAGAATTGTGTTCATGTATTGTGCTTAAACAGTTGAAAACACTTGAGTGTAAGTAAATGGTGTGGAAATTAAATTTTGGGGGGTGAAATCTCCCTTTAACCTTTGCTTGATTGCTTGACCATCTTTCAGTATTCATTAATTTACTTTTGTATTAAGTCTGATGATACAGATATGTACCATACAGTATGTCTGCACATTTGTAATATTGTGATGTATTGCTCAGCCATCTATTTTTGTTTGCTTTGCTAAAATTTGTAAGTCACTATGTAGGATGCATCATTATAAGGGAAAGACATTTGCCAGCACCAACAGCCTAGTGGTTAAGTGAGCTGACATATAGCACCGTCGTACGCACGGCGACCTAAGTTCGATTCCTGGCTCAAAGTCTTTTGCCGACCCTTCCCCTCTCTCTGCTCCCAATACTTTCCTGTCTGCAACCTTCACTATCCTATTCAAATTAAAGGTGAAAGACCCATAAAAATAATTATTAAAAATAAATAAATTATGACATTTTATGGTTGATGCATCTCTTTAAAATACATCAAGAAACACTAAATATTGTGTGTGATTATCAAGCTCAAAATTAAATGATGATAATTTCCATACACTTCATTGCACCAGTGACAATATCCATCTAGTTTCCTTTCAAGATAACCCCTATACAGATAACTGACATAAATGCTTTAGGAAATGGACACCTTATGATCAGCCCTGGTAAAAACACTGTGAAAAGTGGATATGATAGTGTTTTTGTTTTCTTTTTGTTTGTTTTTTCTAAACACTGCACTAATAATTACTAATTACTAATGCTGTCAAACAATTAATCTTATTACAAATAAAAGTTCTTATTTACAAAATATTTTTGTGCATTCTGGGTATATTTTTGTGTATATGCATATGCATTGTTATATATATATTAGGGCTGGGTGATTAATCGAAATCGACATTCAGTACCAATAATCGGTTTAAGTTTTTCCTGGTCGTTTTTTCATACTTGCCTCACCACCTGTGGAGACACGTGAGCCTGCTCCGTTTGTTACTGTTGTGTTACTTTGCACAACATTGACGATTGACAAAGCTGCACCAGAGATGCCTTGAGACTGCATACTTTCCATTACATTAAAGTATTTTTTTAATTAAAACATTTGCTTACAGAAGATGGTGCAAGAAATGCACTGTTTAAATATGCTTATTTTCTACTTTAAATATAAAAAACTTTGAATATAATTTGTTTTGTTCCCAAAAGTGCAAGTTATTTATTTTCCCATTTTCTAAGAAAGAGTGACGGTTGGTTTTAGGTAATGTAAATACAAACTTTTATCTTGGCTTGGGATTATTTGCGATTTTATCTTTTGAGAGCACTACTAATTACAATTATTCCACTTTCCCACTAACTTTATGCTGTCGTAGAAAACCGCTGACTAGTTCTCACTCTCACACAGATGATAAAAGTGTGTCGCGGCAGGCAGATGACTAAGATGTGCGTTCTCTACAGTCATGCCTGATTGTTTGCGGTCTTCAATGTGTAAATCACAGCAGAAGTACAGCATGAGCGGAGATCCATAAACACCAAATCCTCAATTAAACTGCACTGCTCCTGAAGTGAGCACGGCACATCCATCGATGGATTGTGTTATTTTGTTCAACAGAAAAAACAAAGGCAACTGTGAATTCCATAGATCAGAGCTGAACTCCTGCCTGCTAAAATGTTACACACACTTGTCTTGTTTTGTGTCTTCACATGCCAAGTTGGCACTTAAGGGCCGAGCGTGTGGGCATGAAGATTTGTGATGACTCAAACTCTTGAGATCATCGGACTAAGACTCAGTCAGCTGGTGTGTAGGAAAGTATTGACAGGGCTATTTCTGTGTTCTGTTGGAGGAATGATTTACAAAACTTGTAGCCAAAAAACAGTCGCTCAAAGTGCTCTCAGAGGATTTGGTCACTAAAGCCAAATGTAAGCATATATGCTTTCTTGTTATGTAATGTATTCTAAAAGTAGCATTTATTTGAAAAAAAAAAAAAAAAAAAATTGGGCTCGGAAGGATTTCAATTCAGCCAGGACACATTTCACAGTATTACTGTTATTTGTTTCACCTTTTTAAATATAAAAATAGAAAAATCCAGATTATTAGAAAAAAACCCTCTTGATTACATAAACTATTCCAAACATTTAAACAGAAATGCATGTACAAACAAAATATTAGCAAAATGTTTGCAAGGTTTTGTAAATGATGAAACTGTAGATACATTTTTATAATTATGATGTAGTGGTCCCTGGCCTTGGAAATTGCATTGATTTATTTCATTTATTTTTTTACTCTTTGATGAAGCAAAGTGATTCAAGGCATATTACATATTATTAGAAAGCAATATTCAAAGAATATTTTGTAGTTTGCATGTTTTAAGAATTATGTCTGATAATGCAAGAAATCTGCTTAATGGGGAATTTGGCCATGAGAATCAATCAAATAATGATGCTATTGCATTTAGTGCAGTGTTGAGGCAAGTTACTTTTGAAAGTAATGAATTTCAATATTGTGTTACTCCCCAATTAACTCTGCAATTAACATTGCACTGTACATTGTACACCTAGTAGGATCTGAAGGAGCGCTTGGTAATTAAAGATAGCTGTCTTTGATGAAGGTTGCAGCTGAAGGTAGATCTCCTGGAACAGGATTTTGCACCCCTGACCTACACCTTTATTTACCTGAAAAAACACAAAAAATATATATAATTTAGGATAATGTTTACTTCTGAGAAAATCCTGACCCCAGTGTTTACATGCCGTTTATACAGATTAATGAAGTGTTGAGCAATGTGTTTACTTTTATACTTTGTCTTATAAGTTATTTAAAATCACTGTCCAATGAGAAAATCAGATTTTCCTTTATATTATTTTTTTTAAATAAACACATTTTGTTCTTTAGTTGCATTAATTTTAATTACAATTTTTTTAAGCTAATTAAAAAATAAAAAGTAACTTGCATTACATTTTTAAAAAACTTACTCAACTACTATTTAATATTTAAAAGTAATGCGTTTACTTTACTCATGACTTAGAAAAGTAATATTAATATGCAACGCATGTTACTTAGTGCCCCCAACAATAAGCATGCTTTATTTTTTTGTAAGACTTTTAGTTTTTCTTTGCATCTTGCAAATCGTTTTGTCCTAGGAAAAACGATCGTTTTGTACAACCCAGTACTAGGAAACACTCTCACATTCACACATCTCACATCATACACTACGACCAATTTAGTTAATGCAAACCTGGAGGAAACCAACGCCAACACGAGCAGAACATGCAAACTCCACACAGAAATGTCACCTGGGCCAGCCAGGACTCGAACCAGTACCTTTTTTTTGGGAGGGGATAGTGCTAACCACTGAGCCACGTGCCGCCACATACTCATCTATATTTGTACTAAGTATTTAAAAGCTTTTAATCAAGATACTTTCCTCACAGCAGCTTATATGTCCTACACTATTTTTCAGATGCACTCATATCAGCCTACTGTATATCAATACAATTGCTATTGCATCAAGTTGTATCGTTTTTATAAAAGATATGATGGTTGTACAAACTGAGTACTACCCAGTCTTGCATGTCTTTATTGCTGCGTTGATGGCTGTCACTACTGCGAAGTTTCTGTCACACTAGTGCAGTTCTGATCTTGTCTTTAAGCAGTTTATAGGACCCTCAGCCATCTGTTGAGAACTTGTGGAAGTTGCCATGGCAACAGCTTCCTGTAAGCGAGTCTGAACTATTAACGCTGATCTCAAGTCACTTCTGCACTTTCTGCTCTAATGGCTCTGCCAGGTATTTGATTGGTCTTTTGATTCTCTTTCAGTTTAAAGACTGTTTAAAGGTCTAAACTTACAGGATGATGATAGAGATTCACATAAAAATATTATCTGTGAACTTTTCCTCATTTTTTTCCCTCCCTCTCCACTCTTCAGCCATTTTCTTTGCTTTGCTGTGACTTTTTATTCACTACACTGCACTACAATAACTATACTATTATTAGCCCTCCTCTGAAATAATTATATTCGTTTTATTCTTT